CATCAGTCACCACTGCACTGCTCACAGGAGAACTTGTGTTGACATACTGAAATGGGAGAAGATCTATCGTGTGGCTGATTATTCCTTCATAGCAGTAGGGCTGTAATGGTATGGGATTTTTTCTAACTGCGGTGAAGCAACAAATCTCGCGGTTTCTCCCTCATTTTTGCTCCGAGGTCTTGATTGTGGCATTTATTTGAGGTTTAGAATCCAGGATTCCTGTAATTATTGTTTATTTCATAAATTTAATAAAGAAGTGTCTCGTATTATGCCCGTGTACTTTTGTCCCCATTCATTTTCCCTTATATAACCTGAAATTGCAAAATGAAAAACATTTGCTGTGTTTTTAAAACGCATAGTTGAACACAAAATTTTTTATTTGAACTGTAGGCTACACACTAAATGCTGCGCAAAAAAATAGGCCTAAATATAGACGAATTTCTCATTAATGCGATATTGTGGTGATGCGGTTTTCATCACAGACCTAAGCAGTACCTTTCTCCATGTCTGTTTCTCCTTTTTTTCATTATTTTTTATTTCAGATCACATTAAACATTTACCCTATTTTTACTGCCAATTAGACCTGGATCAAGTTGAAAATTCAACTTTGCCATCACAGGAATATTGAAATATCAACTAAATCCTTTAAAAAAAAATTAAGTTTAAATGCGGATAAGTTTAAAAATCTGCATTTAAGTGCAGATATACCTATTATGACAACTGTTTCCTGTTTAAAAATATTTCTGTGATGGCATTCCTGTGATAAGAAGTTTAAAAGAACAGCATTTATTTGAAATAGAAATCTTTTGTAACATTATACTGTAGATGTCTTTACTGTCAATTTTGCTCAATTTATTGTGTCCTTTCTGAATACATTTCATTATATTCAATAATCTTACTAACCCCAAACTGTCTCTCACTGTATTCAAGCTATTTTATAATATTCAGATAAATACCAATATATATGTATTTGCTATTGGCAAGTTAATTAAAAAAACTACAACAGTAAAACTCAAGATAACAATTTATTTATATATATATATATATATATATATATATATATATATATATATATATTGATATATTAAATCAATATATGCATTTATATACATGTATAATTAAATACAATATTTACCAATTTATAGAAAATATTATTCCTTGACATTTTCATGTAAAATCACAAGACACTGCAACATTGGCAATAAGTTGCAACAGAGATTTTCTGTAGAAATATGATTAGAAGGGTCAGAGCACCATTCGTACAATTTAATTATTGGCATACTGCTTTTTTATTTGCATTATTAGAATACTGTATTATTTGCATGTCCTAATAAAGTTAGAATAACTGGAAAGTTTATTTTTTTAATCAATTTTTATTTAATCAAAGCCAATTTTTCTCGCATGGTGAGTATTAATTTTAGACCCTTTATAGACTCTCAGCCAAATTATTGGTCAATGCATATCCCTTGCACTACTACATCTAAGCTGATGTTGAAGCTCTCGTCTCCTAAATCAGGGAAGCTCAAATTCTCAACAACTCTTTTTCCCTCTTATAACCATCTAATAGTCTCTCTTTTAGACTTTTAGACTGTTAAAAGAATCCTCGCTCGTTTTCCTCTGCTTTTTAGCTCTAGCATATAGGTAGACAATCACATTTAAACTTCGCCCAAGTTTTCTGCATCTCCCGTCCCTCTCCCTTCATCTCTCCATCAGTATGGATCCTCATCCCTCTTAAGTGGAAACATTCTTCCAACATCACAGGATGTCCACGCAAGTCTTTGAAGCTGAGAGCCAAACGCTTTTCTAAAGGTAGCTAATGGAAGAACATGCTTATCAGAGTGATCCAGTTCTCTTTTGATACAGCCAAGACCCTGTGGCTGGATGAAAGAAAGAATTCGCCTAGGCAAGGTGCATCGAAGATGCATCTGGAATAGGGTTGGGTACTGATTGGGTTTTATCCGATACCAGTACCTACTCTGTATTTTTTTAACGGTTCCATTGCTTAAGCGGTTCCTATATCGGTACAAAAGAAAACAAAACCACACACACTTTGTCAAAAAATAAATACCCTTTTAATTACAGGGCCAAACTGGATACAATATTAACGTAAGGATTTAAAGATTTCTGATTAAATGAAAAAAAAATGTGCCGTTTAATAGGCTACTGATACAAAACACTGAAGTTAAGATCAACATTTTGTATTTACATATGACTTTTACTTTAAGCAGAGAAATATCTGACACTGAGCATACCCCATGCACAGTATAGCCTCGTATAAAGAAGTGTTGGAACTTTTTGAACACATTGTCACACTCGCTGTTGAATGGCAACGTGTTTGCTCGCCTACTTGATATGCAAGATTTGCAGTTGGCATTAAAAAAGGCCTACTAGACTTACCCGAAGAAGAACGGCTGCTGTTATCATCTGTGAAAGTGTGTTTCCATCCAACAGCTTTAAAGTGAATACAATTTTTCCTTCATTTTCGCACTGACTTCAAACAAACAAAGTTTTGCTAGACTTTGTTTTGCCTACTGTTGCTAGTGCTTATGTGCCAGCTGATAATGACATATGTAAGGGATGATGTATAGCAAGGCGGTTATTAGCCTGAAGGGTTTGTATTAGCTATAACAACCCCCTCGCTATACATTATCCCGCTTATTGCATGACTACCTACCAAATAAATCAATAATTTGACAAAATAATGATTTAAAAAGGAGTTTATTGATTTAAAAACGATTGTATTGCTTCTGCTAAACGCCCGACAACGGAGGGCATTGCACGTAAATGCCCGACAACGGAGGCGGCCTATGGTGTGGAAAGGCCAAACAGTTCTGGGAGATCGTGATTCATAGACACCTGACGGAAACCCTTTGGTCCAATAATGCGCCGGGGCGGCACTGGCACTTTTTGGGCTAAAAACTATAGGCCCACTCGCTTTTTCACTGGCCCGCCCAAAAATACAAATTTCTGCCTACGCCACTGCCTTTGAAGCATTTCTTTTTGCTTTACATCTGTCTTTGTTGACACCCACCATGTATGAAATTCAATCGAATTTTACTGTTTCCATAAGGCTTTTTTCATTCGATATCACTTAATTTGGAAAAAAAACGTGTGGATTGAAACATAGCTACTGTATCCACGCAACTGATCACTTGATTAAAATAAATAAATAAATAAATTCAGCGCTAGATCCTCTTTTATTTAACATATGAACAAAATGGATGCTCTACTGGTTAACTGGAGATGTTTTATTTATATGTATTGGAACATTAGTGCCACGAGATCTTTTACAGGAGGCGGTAAAAAAAAAAGTCAGGCACCAAAATTAATTCTTATTACTACCTCATTACTACCGTTTACATCGGAACCGGTTCTCTATTGGAACTGCGCATCGATACCCAACCCTAATCTGGACAGTACAGGGGTTGTCGAACCAATGAGAGTGTAGATTATAGCATGTGGTTTGTGGGCTAGTCGACTCCTTGGAGCATCTCTATGTATATAGACGCATCTAGACTGTAAGATCTTGATCAGAGACCCTCTGAAACCTCGATTAACCTTGCAGCACAAAACCAGATAACTGCTCAGACTCACATGTGTGGATCAACAACACGTGTTGTGCCTGTGAGAAGTTCAGATAGATGTGAGGCTGGCGGCTCAACCATGACTGGGCACAGGAAAGCTGATATCAATATTTGTTCAATTATACATTTCACAAGCGAATCATTTCCATACAGCCTCAAAGGTAAATGTTTCTGTCCACAGCATCTCAGACAATTTCACAATCCTGCGATATCACCACATGCAGGTACACACTTCTGAAAAACACAGCTGCAGACTGGTAGGGTCCTATTTTAACGATCTAAGCGCATGGTCTAAAGCACCCGGCTCAAGTGCACTTATGCCGTGTTTGAATCCACTTTTGCTTGTTCAATGACGGGAAAAATGGTCGGCAGCTACAATTATTGGACAGAAAATGTGTCAATCAAACCCCACCCCTAATCCTACCCATCTCCACCACTTAGATGTGGTTCCAACTCCTGCCCCTGGATCTCGTGAACTGCAAAATGAGGTGCTACTTGGGCCAATACCCTACCTTTAAAGCTACACTGTGTGATTTTTACCCCCATCTAGTGGTGAAAAGGTATATGACCTTCCAGTGAATATTAGTTTCTGTTCCTCTCAATTCCGATTTCGTTTTAGCTCCTACGGTGGCCAATGTAGTCCAAGATTAACATGGCTTCCAGTTCGACCTCGTCCATGAGTGTTAACTCAAACGTAAACGCGAAAGGCGAAGCTTGAATTAACGGGTATGTCCCTCTAGCTAATGTACTTTCAAGATGGAGGGGCAACATGGCGACCGACATTAGAACCCTTTACCCGTATGTATTTTCAATGGCATATTATACACTCACGAGAATACTTTTTTACTTGAACGAAGTAAATATACATTAATGAGCACATATATTTTTGAAAGAACTAAGTGTTTTAGCTAAGAATAAACTAAAAGAGTTACACAGTGTAGCTTTAAGGAGTAATGGGTGTGTTTTGGGAGTAACAAACAATAAAAAAACTCTGCCATTGACTTTAGGCCAGGTTTTTGTTGGTCAATGATGCAGTCTATTTCAGATGCCTGAAATGGCAAACAATGCACCGGTACACACCTCGTTTTCAGACCAGCACACCCATGGGCGCACAAATAGGCATGTTTGTGGTAGTCAGTGTTCGATTTACACAGACCCGATTCAAGCAAAGTTTCAATTACATAGAAGCCTATAGAGGATTGAGACTGCTCTCAGATTTAATCAAAAATTTCTTAATTTATGTCCCGAAGATGAACGAAAGTCTTACAGGGTTAGAACAACATGAGGGTAAGTAATTACTGACAGAATTTTTTTTTGGTGAACCAACCCTTTAAGGTTTAAAATAAATACTCATTTCTCTCTGAAAGCATGGCTGAGGGGAGATGCTCAGCTGTTGAATGTAGGATGTTAACCTACCTCCAGTCTTCCCGTGTCAGGCTGGAAGCCACGTGCTGGGTCCTCTGTGGTCACACGGCACTGGATGGCATAGCCATTGATCCGTATCTTATCCTGTTTCAGGCCAAGCTCGTGCAGACTGCGACCTTCACACACTCTCAACTGAGCGTGTACCAGATCCACACTGGATGAAAGGGAGAAACAGAGACAGTGGTTGTATTACATTTGCTAAACAACAAAAACACACCCTGCCACAGGCCCCACAGCCACAACGATCACATCCAACACTGAAACTATCACTCCAGAAAAGTGCACGTTATCAGGCCACACCTGTTCAGCGATCTGGAATCCCAACAGATTCACTCAAACCATTCTCAGTTGCTTGACATTCCAGCAGATGCAACACGGCGAGACAATATTCACACTGGTGAGGCGAGAACGCGCAAGATGCCTGCTTGCTCCAATAACTTCTATTAGACAGGCTTGACAACTAGCAATCCGCTTCACACACTGCACTCGCTTGACAAGGAGTGGGATGAGTGGATTGTGGAAGGAAACAAGCGAGTCACTCACTGACATACAATCAGGATGCCTGCTAGACTCAGGGCTAACAGCTAGCCTCAATAACTTCACAATTAAATCACTCCCTCAGCTCAATTGAATGAACCAGGCTTTTCCAGGGCTGATTGGCTACATTTGGCTGAGTCTGCCATCTTATTGGATAAGTGCTTTCCTCGGTGTAAAGTTGGATTTATTAAGAGCCATATAAATCACGGTGACATATTTACTCACCCTAGATTCACTTAACTCATTCCTAATGTCCCACAATTCCTCATCCTCATATCGCGTCAATTTTCTTCTTACAGGCGCAGAGAGAAGGGGTGAACCAAGGTTGACTAATTGGGGGAAAGATGTATGCATAGCGAATGGAAGCTTGTCAGAGTTGCGAACCCGCAGCTTTTTGTTTGAAATCAGTGTCAACATGTAAGGGTAACGCTACAAGGTAGTTATTCTTAATTACTAATGCTTTCTTTCACCGTATCAGAAGGAATACAGTGATGTGAATAAGATTGGACACCCATGCTAAAGTTGCCTAAAAAGAGGAATAAAAAAAATCATCTTTTGGATATTGATCTTTATGCCTTAATTAGAAAAATGAGGAAAACTCCAACCTTTAAAGACACAAATTTTCTTTGTGAATGAATAATGTATCATAAATAAATAAATGGTTTTCCTTAAAATACAGGGTGCATAAGTCAGGACACCCCTATGTTAAATTCCCAAAGAGTCAGGCAGATTTTTATTTTTAAAAGCCAGTTATTTCATGGATCCAGGATAATATGCATCCTGATAAAGTTCCCTTGGCCTTTGAAATTAAAATATCCCCACATCATCACACACCTTCCACCACACCTAGAGATTGGCATGGGGTACTTTCCATAAGACCATCTTTCAATGCAAATCAAACCAGCTATTCGGCTAACTGAAGTAAAACCATGCCAATCTCCAGGTGTGGTGGAAGGTGTGTGATGATGTGGGGATATTTTAATTCCAAAGGCCAAGGGAACTTTATCAGAATGCATATTATCCTGGATCCATGAAATAACTGGATTTTAAAAATAAAAATCTGGGAATTTAACATAGGGGTGTCCTGACTTTTGCACCCTGTATTTTAAGGAAAACCATTTATTTATTTATGATACATTATTCATTCACAAAGAAAATTTGTGTCCTTAAAGGTTGGAGTTTTCCTCATTTTTCTAATTAAGGCATTAAGATCAATATCCAAAAGATGATTTTTTATTCCTCTTTGTAGGCAACTTTAGCATGGGTGTCCAAACTTATTCACAACACTGTAAAAGGCATTCAAACAGCTTCAAGGCTAAAACTTCATGATCATCCTCTTTATGTTGAACGAATAATCAAATTCCAAAGTGCTAGTGTGTGCACCCAAGAGAAAAACTGTGAAAAGCACCAAGTGGGTCACAAAATATTTTCAACCAATAAAAGAAGAGCGAGCATTTGCTTTCATTTTGTGCATCAATAATTTATGCTACAAAGTGTCTGCCTTTTTTTTTTTTTATCTCTGGCACAAAGGCATTTTAAAAATGTAAGATTTCTCGAAGGCCCACATATATAAAAATCGCACAGCATGCTTTTGATAACACTACGGCAATATTTATATGCACACACACATGGTGGTGGCAAAGGCAATATGTTTGCACAGCTCTCAACATTATCTGGCTAGGCCTCATTAGTTTTTTAACAATGGTACAAACAGGCTCTGAATATTACACGCATAGGTCTTTATGACACTGGCGTCTAATGATAGCATCTCTCACATGAACTCTGGTCATAACAGCTGCAAGCTGAAATAATTACCAAACGAAACATCAAATTCAGCTTAATGGATTATCTCTATTATTTTCTTTGTGTAAATACTTCAGCAGATCAATGTGCAATAGTTAAAATTACATTTATCAGAGGAAACATTTGGAGTCTGAGTGGCAAACAAAAAGCTTGCAAGTTGAATCCAAACTAGGTGGAAACATTCGGCTTCTTCATCAACACATTTAACCCTCAAATATGATCCCAGCATTTACTAAACTGACAGGGTAAATCAATGTGGATGAGGCTTTTAATTTTAGTTAATCTTTCATAAATAAAAGGGATTCATGATTACTTATTTTTGGATTTAGAAGTACTCAATTATGGCAACACAATCTAAAATCAAATATTGATTATCAACTTTATATTTAGAAAATTATAAAATATAAAGTTTATATTTAGCTATAAACAGCTTTGAAACCTTTGAAAATATATCTTTGTTCAGTCTTTCTTTTGAACATACACACACACACTTAAGCAGTTTGAGATTCTTCTTATAAACAATCAGCTTATAAAAGTTACGTTGTCTAAAGACTGTATGATCAGAGTAGTGTAATGTATTTAGTAGTTTGGCTTTTCAGCGCTGGACAGGAAGAGTAATCTGAAGCAGTGAAAACAGATTCTGGGATTCAATGTACTCATAAAAACAAAGCTATAAGGGGCAGCTGACCCAGTCTCAAGGGCACAATGTTCACATCCACGCTCCCTTACCTCTCTCACTCAAGCTTCTCCTGATTAGATGCCATCCCATAGCAATCCAAGTCCGAAAAGCTACAATCACTTCTATAATAATGTGAAACAGCAACTCAAAATGATTACTGCGATATAATATGAACAAGCTTTGATTCAGATGCAGACATGCATCGCCAACCAAACTCCCCAAAATACACAATACCCTGAACATCCTGAAAAAGCAGTGTGTTTCAACATCTCCCATTTATTTTGAAGACAATTTCATATATGTTTTATAACTAACCTGTTTTAAAAGCATCAGAATGAGATGAGAATTCACTAATATTCGTTTTCAGCAATGACTCATCTATGACTCTTATTTCCCTGGCATGCCTTAAAATCCCAGGCAACAGTGCATTATGTGGGATAATAGAATATACTGTGGCTGATAAATTAAACATTTCTTAAAAGTGTGTAATCAGCATCTCCGAAATGCAATCTGTACTGTTATCTAAGCAGAAAAGTGTTTATGTCTAGGACTGGCCGGTATGTATGAGATATATAGACATCTCTATCTCTAATCCATTGAGTATGAGCAGGCGGGATGGGATCTTTCCACTTTAGTAGTATCGCTCTATGTGCTAACAAGGACTTTACACACTGATGCTGACAGCCATGACTGCTCTGAAGTGACACCAAATACTGTACTCTAAACTGTGCTGAAGAACCACCGAAAGGGTATGAAAAATCGATCACCAGTAACACTAATTTGGGGCATGTCCAGAACATGTGAATTAATGAACATTTGAGCTAATTTAACTTTGGATATATGAGCTCTGTGTATTACTTTAAACTGTATAAGTGAACGCCGAGCATACATTGACAAAGAGTGGATCCGTTTACGAACCCAGTTCCATGTTTTTTTCAGAGAGCGGTCTGTCAAAGTCTTCCTCCCAAGCTCTCTTAATGTTATCTAGAGAGGAAGATGTCAGATTGGTCATTAAATTGTAAGTAATGGAAATTGAGCCCTTAGCTAAAATATTAAATGAAAGGAAACTATCCAAAGGATTTTCAGGAGGATATTTTTATGGTGAAATAAAATCTCTCATCTTGTGAAATAATTAGGTCATAGCGCACATCCCAAGTTGTGGCACTAGGAATGTCTCTCGTCTCAAACGCGTCAATGTGTGCAACTTCATAATGCTGAAATAAGCTTTAAATGGATAGTTCGCCCAAAAATCCCATCTATCTATCTATCTATCTATCTATCTATCTATCTATCTATCTATCTATCTATCTATCTATCTATCTATCTATCTATCTATCTATCTATCTATCTATCTATCTATCTATCTATATATATATATATATATATATATATATATATATATGACGAGTTCAGATGCAAAAGCCTCTAAGTGCCATTTGAAATTTTCTTCTAGAATGATCATTTTTATCAAGCTTGTATATTTAAGTTCAGTGATTTCACTTAAATGGCAATGGTAATTACCTATTAATTGTTATTTAAGTGAAATTACTGAACTTAAATATACAAGTTTGATAAAAATCATCATTAAAGAAGAAAATTTCAAATGGCATTTAGAGGCTTTTGCATCTGAACTCTTCATATATATATATATATATATATATATTCTCCTCTCAAGTTTTCTTCCTTTTCCTAAGCCCTTGTTGGGACTGTGATTGTTTGTTAGGTCTTTTGTTCGAGGATCAAGAATGTTGACTCAGAAACATGTACCACGGGAATAAATCACAGTGCTGGTCAATAACTGCTGAAAAGGTAAAACTCACATTTACAAGAAAAAAAACAATAGAAAACAAGCAAGCACCAAGCAAATATTTGCTACCCCTAAACTGCCATTGTATACCCTTTAATTATCCAGATGGCAGAGCATTTAAGCAGCCAACAGTCAGACAGATGAGGAAGAGTGAAGAGCAAGTGCAGAAGAGAGACACAAACAATGAAGACTGGGAGCATTAGACAGAGGAAACAAGAGAGCAGAGAGAAAAAGGAGGACAGCAGAACAGAGCCGACTGCAGCAAACAGCAAGAGAGCTGCTCAGGATGAGGTGGGGGAGCCATGTTAATATATTCAGTCTGATTCTT